GAGTGTGAGGTTTGTTCTCCCAAGCAATGTGGGACTAAAACCCACTACAATACACTATTATCAACACCACTAAAATAACACATGAACTTATGAGGCACCTAATGCTTTTTGTTAACAAATGGACTAAAATGGACCTCAAAATAGAAAAAGACGTAGTCCATTTTCTGAGGGTAGCAGCTCCATTAGCATGAAGAAATGGGTGGAGGTGTATATGGTTAAGTAGTAAAGAAACATGTAAAAGAGTTTTAATTATCAATTACTCGGTAACACTACTTTCTAAAATCTTATGTTTGTCACCGTCATCAGAGAAATTGAACCTTAACAGTCCTGTGTTTGTGAGTTTATTTTACTAATAAGTTGTCAGCTGATATCAATATGGAAAATAATAGGGGCACACCCCCAACCACAACTCCAACCACACACACACTCTCTCATTTGCTACAGTGTACCGGGCCTGACATAGGATTTTAAAAATTTAAAACTCATGTGGAGCCCGATGCACTGTAGCAAACGAGAAAGAATGTGTGGTTGAAGTTGTGGTTGGGAGTGTACCCCTGGTACCACTCTATCAATATGCCCGTTATAAAATACACTCTTTTTCGTAGTGAAAATCCTGTACCAATTTATATTATTAAAAAAACACATCTGGGCCATGCATCACATACTGCTGAACATTCAAAATGCTGTAATATAGGCCACGAGATGGGCCTCCAAAATAAAAAAATCCAGATTCCTATTGTTTTTCTTGCCTAATAAAGTAAGCTACTTGTACAAAGTGGGCCGTAAGAGTTCGGCCTACTATGCTAATAACCAAAAAAGTACAGCCCATTACAACGAATCCAATATATCGTACAGCAATCAAACCGTAGTCAAAAGTCAAAAGATAAAAGGTTTTCTTTTTCGATATTAGTCCCTTCCTTCTTTCATACTTTTGTGTGCCTCTAATCATTGGAATTGCTCTTAGTGTCCCGTAAATCTTAAGTTATAAACTTAGTCCCTCATTTGAAATTGTTATTAGGCCCCCATTCTTAATTTATTTTAAAATCTACTCCCTCAAATGAAGAGTAAAAGTAAAACTAGAGGGATTAATCTGAAACAACCTACGAGAGTTTGGGAACCTGTTTCATTGATTCAAAGGACTAATTTCCCTCTGATTGCTACTTCCTCGTTTGGTTTGAGGGAATAATTTCAAGATAACTTAATATTTGGGTAACCCAATAGCGACTAATTTCCAAAAAAAATATATATGATTTGGGGGACCCCTATGGCAATTACAATAAATCGAGGGACTAATTTCAAAACATAAAATACTTAAGTGACTGATATTTAAAAAAAGCCGAAGATAAAAAAAGTACGACGCCGGCCATCATCGTCCGCAGAGAGAGAAACCCAAAGACCCGAAATCAACCGCCCAAAAATTATCAAAATAGTAGCCCCCGCCCCCCCTGCCGCCCTCTCGTCTCTGCTCTCTAATGTCTTCTTTTAGCTCCATCACCATCTTGCTGCTCTCGCCCTTGCGCTTCTCCTCTCCTCTCCTCATCCTCATCCTCTACTTCTCGCTCTCTCATTTCTTTCCCTTTGCAGAGAAATAGCAGGTGCAGGTTGAAGCTGAAGGCATGCAGAGCTTCTGAATCTGATGACGTTGCCTCCGCCGGCGACTCCAAGGTCCCAAATGGGAGTGTAAGTGAATACCCATTTTGGCCTTTTTGGTTTGGAGTTTGTGGGATTTTGTGTTATGAAATGGCCTTCAAAGTGTTTGAGGTAATGCCTCTGAGTGTTTCTTTTGGGCATTTCCTCAAAATAACTATATGGCGCCACATTGGTATTGAAGGACAGAAAAATATCTAATTTTGGAGGTTTGGGACTTTTAGGAGTTACGAATGTAGTTAGTTCGAGTAAGCATTATACTTTGTCACTGGTTTATTTGCAGATAGGGGTGTTAAGTTGCACTGGAAAGAGAAATAGATGTCACATCATGCTTTATGGCAAAAAGGGGAAATTCTTTTAAATCTGTAAGTGTGATCGGGGGGCGCCCACCCACGTGGGCAACTCTTCAGTTCCCTCCCCCTTTGGTTTCTGCCTATAAATAGAGAGGTTGGGAGAAGGGGAAAAGTGTGGGAAAAACAATTAGGTTTGTGTGAGTTTTCTTAGAGAGAAAAAGTGAGTGAGAGAGAACTTGTAAAGTTTGGTATTCTCCTCATAGTGAAACCCCCTCCCGTGGACGTAGGCTAGTTTGCCGAACCACGTAAAATCCCGTGTTTGTATTTGTCTTATCTGTGAGTTGTCATAGCTTGTAGGTTCCCTCGATATTTCAGTCCTTGAACTGATGAGAGGAAGAGTGTATATTTTACTTTGATGAAATATATCACTTTCGATTCTTGTTTCCTTTGAGAAATAAGAATTTCATTATCTATTCTCGTTTCCTTTGAGAAACAAGAATATAGAGGTTGACTTGTACTTTTGTGATAACGAAAGCCAGGGCTCTCTCTCAGGTGATATCGCTTCCGCGGCGGTGGGCGTGACTCCGCCCCAACAGTAAGTTTTCATTTATGGGTCAAAATGTTGGGCAATTAAAAGATGTGCAGAACATGAGTGTAGCGGAGATGGGAATGTTGAACCAGTGGATGTGCACTAAGGGATATGATAAGAAATGAGTGCATTTGTTGGAAGTTAGAGGTTGCTCATGTAAAGGATAAACACGAGAGAGAATCGTTTGAGATTGTATGGTCATGTGCAGTGGAAGCCATTAAATGCAACAATTAGGACAAGTGGTTATAATTAATGTAGAAAGATGAACTAGAGGTAGGCCTAATTGACTTTGTTAGAAACAAAGAAGGATATGATATTGCTTAACTTAGTGGAGGAGATAGCCCTCAATGGAAAAGTAGAATAGGATTCATGTAGTTGACCCAAAATTTGGGATAAAGGCTGTGTTGTTCTTGTTGTTGTACATTATCATTTATTGAAAACTGTCTTGCAACTTAAAGTAGAACAGGCCCTAAAAAAATCCAGCAGAAAAGCTTATAGTCTACATTGGATTGGTGGCCTTCATGATCCCCTTATAATTTGTCATTTTGTGGTGAGAAATGGGGTCATGCTAGCATATGAATTAGAATGTAAGTATTGGTTGGTATTTTTTTTTCAGAATAAGAAGGCAAGACTGAAACGAATGCTGACCATATCAAAGTACATATAAGAAATATCTAGTAGGATGCCAAGGTTCTAGAAACGATTGATTAGAAACTTAGCATGACAAAAAAGAATTTAGTCAGCTTAGGAGACACGGACTTGCTATGGGAAATACAATACAGTAAAGTACAAAAGGTAAATCTGAATTAAGACATGATTCAAGATGAAATAGGTATGGTTCTGAATACATATTCTCAGATTTTCTATTCATGTTCAGTAGGGGGGGTTATTGGTTGGGATATTTTGGGGGATAATGAGATAATTTTAGGGATTCTATTTCATAGTGTTATTCATTGGGACAATAGAACAAGGATAATACCTTTTTGTGTTATCGGTTTTTTGAAACACTAGTGAGACAATTACACCACTTGGGATAAAATTACCCCACTCATTATAAAAATTTTGTCCCAATAGTAAAATTTATCCCATCCTTCATATTGGAATAATGTTGTTCCACTTTGAAGGCAATTGAGATAATTTTAAAATATTTTTGTATTACTTAACTAATACATGCAATTATATTATAAATATATGACATGATATATTAAATATAACATATATTAATATTTTAATGACATAATTTAATAGCATATATTAATAATATTATATAATAGTTATTATAGTATAACATATTTATTATAATATTATATAATAGTAATAACATATATTAATAATATTATATAATAACATATATTAATATTTTAATAACATATATATAATATTTTAATAACATATATTAATAGTATTATGCAATATATTATTATATAATATTAATTAGTAATTATAGTATAACGTATTTATTATAATATTATATAATATAATATAATAATTAATAATAATAAATTGTAAAGTATAGTACAATATATTATATTTTAATATAAAGTAAAATAATATTTATATTATAATAATATACTAAATAATATACTAAACCAATTGGATAAGTTAATTTAGAAGTAATTAATAGATAAAATTATATTTTAATAAGGTGTCACATCATTAATTATCCCACATGAATTGTCAAATCAAAGGCTCAAATTATTTCATTATCCCACTTTATCCCACTTTACCCCACTCAAAATATCCTAAAGGGGTAAAATTGTTCCATTGGAACAATTTTCCCACTTGGCCCCAATCTGTCCCAAGTCCCAACCAATAACCCCCCCTAACAGATAGGAGACTTTATATTCGTTTATTGGATAATAAATTTCGATTTAGAATAGTGTTTCATAGTACTGTTTCAATGTCACTAGAGCTTTTTTGCACAGGTTAGGAGGGGAAAAAGGATGTAGAGAGATGTTAAGACAGTGACTAGTTCAAGAATGACGAGTTTGTTTGTAGTTGCACGGGTTGTACCCTGTGTAATATGACAAATTAAGTAGATAATGAAAACTATCTTGCAGTTCCTTATTGCGTATACTTACGGAATATACTGCATAATCTTACTAATTATCCATGTTGAGAACTATCTACACATATTTTCCTGACCGTGCATTATATGTGCGACTTATTGTAGAGAAGATTTCCTCCATAGCATCTGAAACATCTCACAGCTAAGAATGAGATTGCACTCTAAGGTTCTGGCACAATTGGAGTAGCTTAACTTCGAAAGTTGGGAGAATTTCTCACGTTGAAAATGTTTTTTCTTACAGTATAATGCACGAGAATCATTGTTTTGACTCCAAGTGCAGTATCTTAGATCCAAGATGTATAGCTTGAACATGTTTGCTAGTTGCTACACTTGAAAACATTGACCTACTTCTGTTTAATTTTATGCTTTTGTGTTAAGTATGTGTATAGTACAATCTTACTGGAAGCTGACTGGGTTGCTGCTTGCAAGGGCCAAGTATGTGGAGCTTGGTGCTTCTCCTTCCTTAACCATTATGTGATATATATGGATTAATTCTATGCTGTATGCATAGATTGATTATTGCATATGCATGTTCCCTGTGCTCTTGGCTAAGAGGGAAGGGGATGATTAAGGTGGATAGTTCCCGTGATTTGTCTGTTTACTTCTTTAGTATCCAATCCAGTGAAAGTCGTCCTATTGTTTTACAATTACATGTTGATTCTTGTTAAATTTGGTGCATATCTGAGTTCTGATTTTTCTTGACACGATCTGTATACATTAATTCCTTACACAATTCAACGTTGCCGCATACTTGTTTTTCAGCCTAAGAGCAGAAGAGACATTCTTCTTGAATACGTCAAAAATGTTCAACCAGAATTTATGGAGCTATTTATTCAGAGGGCACCAAAGCAGGTAATATATTATCACTTGATACATTCATCTTCCTCGCTTTTCTGAAAGAAAGCTGGTGTTTATTTGTCCCTTAATCTCATTAATACTCATTGGTACAATAATTTTTCAACCCGATATCTGAATAATTATTTATTGTCTTATTCCTCATTTTCCTTTGTGCATATAGGTTGTTGACGCAATGCGGCAAACTGTGACAAACATGATCGGAACACTTCCGCCCCAATTTTTTGCTATAACTGTAACCACAGTAAGTTTATTTTCTAATTACAATTTCAGACTATTCCACAATTTAAAATATCTAGCAGTATAAAAACATGCATGTCCATTGAACACGCAACTATAAGTCTATAACCTAGTAATAATTCACATTTGAACCCTTCAGACAATGCCAATCCTGCAGGCAACCGTTCTATCCTAGTCTTTATACAACCAGCTCAGTTAAATATAAGCTCTGCCCTTCAATTTCCCTACTTCTAAGCATTTAATACTTCAAGATCAAACAGGATTGTTGGAGTCACCATTTTAGTTCTTAAAACTGTTTTTATGCTTTTTATAATGCAATATCAAAATAGAGCAGTTGGCTTTTCTCTTCTTCATCACTATTACCTTAGCTAATAGATGGCCATTATCTTACCCTCCGCCATTAAAGAACCTTAATTAGCACGATGTCCTTTGATCCTTTCCTCTTGTTTTACTGAAATTAGTTTCTAGGAAACACACTATTCTAAATCATTTATATCAGTAGGAAACTGAAAAACAATTTATTTTCTTGTTTTAATTGAAATAAATCAATAGCCATAGATTATACTTGTCTTTTTCTTTTTCAGGTTGCTGAAAATTTGGCACAGCTCATGTACAGTGTTTTGATGACTGGCTATATGTTTAGAAATGCGCAATACCGTATAGAACTGCAACAAAGTCTTGAGCAAGTTGCTCTTCCTGATGCAAATGACAAAAAGGTATTTTACACTTTTATCTGTTGTTTGATATAACTAAATGACATCAATTGGATTGTTGTTGAGTAATTCATTCTCACTTTTTATTACTTCCTTTATAGTGGTTTGTGGTGCGTGTATATATTGTTACTAATTACTCTCTTGCCAAAGCTTTTTGTACTTTATCAAATCTAGTTATATGCTTGCTAAATCTTCTGAATCTAATTGATGATAGCTGTTTGAAAACCATCGAAGTTCATTACATTTGCAAAACATGGGAGTGCAATTGTTTGTGCATGTGTGTGACTATATGTAGCGGGGTGTATAATTTGTTCTCAAGACATATGATTGAAAAATCACTGTTGACTTTTTCAACTTGCATGAGGTTCAATGCAATGATAGCTAATATGTCTAGTGAAGTAGAACTCTTCATGAACTCCTATCTTGGTGTATGATTTTAAGTGTTCTTACTTCGGTGGTTTCAAAGTTGTTTGCATCATGCTCTGATATACGTATACTAACATATACTAGTTTAGTTACATTATTTATACACAGGCTACGTTGTAATGAAAACCCTATTTTTTATGAGCTACTTGTGAAATAAAATTTATCAATGTTAACTAACCAAGTGATATGTTTAACTATTTAAACCCCTTCATTTATGATCTTTTTTTAGTTTTTGATGCGCAAGTACAGGGGCAGAACTGAAAAGATCTCTTACACTCTGCCTTCTGGTGCTTGAAAGTACCTTATTTAATAGCTAATGACTTGAAGGGTTTTTAAAAATCAAATGATATTTTAAGTGTAATTCTTGATAATGGTTGAATCGAAGAACATATCATTAATGAAGGTTTATCTTTGAAAGTTAATTCTCAGCATAATAGCATCTAGTCATACATATGTTCTGGTCAGACATGTGTAATGGTATCACAGTAATAGTTTCATATTCATTTGCTAAGTGTCTGCAGTTGTTACTGCCGACCCAAGTTAATTATGTAAATACATTGATATGAGGGATGAATTTTAATATCGGAATCTCATTCTTGGTTTAAGTTCAAGAATCCGCATCCTATTTCATAAGGTGTGTTGTAGTTTTAATCTTATTCGTTCATTCTTGTATACATCATAGAACTGTATCTTATTGTTAATGTTTGATTGTATTCTATACTTTCCAGCTTGGCTTCATGCTCTGTCAATTAACAAAATTATGTTAGGAAATATGAGGATCACTCTTGAGCAAGGAAAAAAAAGAAAAAGTACTGTTGCAAATTGAACTGTAGTTTATTTGGTTTCTGTTGCAAAATTTTCATATGAGAAATATCTGTGGTAAGATGATATGCACTCATGTTTTATTCTTTCTTTATCAATCATACATCATGTAATGGTCTGTTATATGGTTGCATATATATTCCCTTTTTAGGTGTATGTTTCCCCCCTTTCTCCCCTATAGGCATTGGCTTTCATGTCGCTATGCAATTGTATCATATATTCCCTGCGATTATTGTTTCACTTTGCTACGAAATTGTATTATATACTTCCTATGATTATTGTAGGATGGGCAGGATTATGCGCCGGGTACACAAAAGAAAGTGTCAGGAGAAGTTATTAGGTGGAATAAGGATTCTGGCCCTGAAAAAATGGATGCAGTAAAATATATAGAGTATCTTGAAGCAGAAATTGAGGAACTGAATCGACAGGTAGCAAGGAGGTCAGCAAATGGACATAATGAACTTTTGGAATACCTGAAGTCTCTTGAACCTCAAAATTTGAAGGTACTCATGTTTCATGTATTTTTAATACATGAACCATTATATAGGTGCTTTTTTTCTATTACTTTTATAATTAATCTTAAATATTTATATTCTTTTGTTTCGTTCCCTTCAATGTTTAGGAGCTGACAAGTACTGCTGGTGAAGATGTTGTTTTTGCTATGAATGCTTTCATCAAGCGCCTCTTAGCAGTGTCAGATCCTAACCTGATGAAGGTTTGTCCCTCAAATCAGAAACTGTTTTGCATTCTATATGCTGCTCTTTTACCTAACTAGTTAAAAAAATTAGTGCGCCTTGTGCTCGTTAAGAGGGATCATTATATTTAAGAAAAATTATGACTCAGTTGAATTGTTTAAAATTCAATAATTGATTCTAGGTTATTTGTTTGACATCATATTTTTTATCATAATGGATACTGTCAGGAACTCCAGGCAAAATTTTGATAAATGTTTCAATCTCTCCTTTTTTCTCCCTGTGAATGTGATACCCTTGACATCTCCTTCCACAAGAATAATACATAAGATATATTATCAGCACGAGCAACAAAAATCTGGCTTATGAGTTATGTCCAAAAGCAAGAAAAACACGGTTATACACACACACACACACACACACGAAGAAATTCAATTTTCAGGTGATAATTAATATTAGGTTGTGTTCAGTAAAACACAACCTAATATGGTTAAGTCCTTAATCAGGATAGGATTGGTCCAGGTAGGATATGGTCCAATCAAAACCTGGTTAAGGGGAGGAATTTGAACTAAAAAAACTGGGCCACAATTGGTCCAGTTGTTTGCTATGTCAATGTTTTTCTTGTATTTCCAAAAAAAAAAAGCCCCATGACGGAACATGTGGTCTTTGTTGCCATAATCTCGTAATGTACATTTTAATGAACTTTGTAAAATTTTAAGAGATTAATGGAGAGGAGAAAGCAAAGGAAATACTTGACCTTTCTGATATATCTTACACATCAGAAAAGGAAAAAAAAAGGGGAAAGACTGTTAGATAACATATAGCTATTACACTCTCTGTATGAATGAGAAATGAAAACCGGTAGAAACTTGCCTTTTCCCTAGATAGAAACTGGAAACTATGGTGATTTTCAGGTTGTGTTGAGGAGTTGGTGAAAGTTTGTTCTTATGTTTTAAAAAAGGTTGGTTGCACTTAACTACCCCAATGTTTACCTCATTTTAACCTTGATACCCCAAAGTTTTGTTTTGCCAAAATATACCCCAAAATTCAACAAAAAATTAACTTTGATGCCCAGAGTTTCCCCCCCAAAAATACCCCAAAGTTTAACATTTTTTTTGGTTAAAGTTTGGGGTATCAAAGTTAAACTTTGTTCAACTTTGGGGTGTTTTTTTAGGCAATTTTTTTGGGTACCAAAGTTACGAACGAGGTAAACTTTGAGGTACTTTTTGGGTAAAAAATAAACTTTGGGGTATCGAAGTTTAAAAGGAGTAAACCTTGGGTATTTAAGTGCAAATAACCCTTTCAAAAAATGACAAGGCATAATTAGAAAGTATCCTATTAAACTAGGATATCTGGTGAGTAGGGATCCTGTCAGAACCATCCTTATAGGAGTAGGGTGATCTACACATAAAAGAGGAGTTTTAATTTGTAAACTAATCTTCTAGCCACCCGTGAATGATATAGATCGCCCCTTTCTATGGGGTGTTCTGATAGAATTTTACTCATATCTGATAAGTAAGCCTTCTTCTGATGCATCTGCATTCTGACTTTCACAGACAACACCAACAGAAACAAGTGCTCCAGAACTCGCCAAGTTACTATATTGGCTGATGATAGTTGGCTACAGTATCCG